AAGCTACCGCACTTTATAGTAAAATACAAAAAAACGGGTTGACGGAAGAAGAGTAATCATGAAGTAGACAAAGTCATGTGAGATAGTAAGCAATTTGTAAGTAATTTTAAACCACATCACTAACAGTCTTCAACCACTGATTTCTTTTCGTTCTCGAGGACAAAAACCAGGTAGCCTACATTTCCCCAAATGGCTCAGGCCAACAGAAAGAAGCTGCATAAGCTGGCCCAACTCTTTGGTCTGATGAACTTGAACCCTCTTCCAACCTAATCCATCTTCCTCTATCAAGATACCCCTAGGTAGGCGCTGGCTGAACATGCGGAGTACATACCTAAGCCATCTCTGCCGACTAAGGTTGAAAACCCCGCCTATCAACTTGCACATCTTGCCCAGTATCCTTCGTTTGACCTCAGTACTGGTAACACACTGATGTGAGCAATACTGCGAAGACACCTTGTAACCGCTTCAGGTCTTCTACATTCAGTGGTCATGTCTCACAATAGTGTAACAAAACAGAATGGATTGCAACTCAATATTGTCACCCTTAGTCAAACAATTGAATATCTCAGTTGGTGATACAGCCAAAGCAAATTGGTACATGCCAAACTAGCCTTCTCTATCCAGCTGAGATTTCGAAAGCGACCAACTCATTCAGGCTGATGCGAATTCTCAAGGAAGTGAAGTGGTCGACAAATTCTACCACTTCAACACCTATCATTAAAATGGAAGTACCTGCAGGAGACCAGTCCTGGGCCATTATCTTGCATTTGACAGTTGTCAGCGAAACACATGCCAAACGTACTTAGATTTTTTTCCAACGTGTTCAGAAGACCCTGCATTTTGTCAGCGTCTTCACCTAGGAAGACGATATCATCTGCATACTTCAAGTCAACCAGATGACCCCCTAGGAGTCGATCAATCCCTATGAAAGAAGGAGTGCCTAACGTTATGTCCACTAGCATGTCAACAAGGAAGTTATACTGGTATGATGACAACGAGCATCACTGGCAGACACCACTAGTTGTTGTTAATTCTGATGATAAGTGAATATAAACCCTTAAAGGGTTGCATGAGCTTCAATATAGAGTTCAGATTAGCATTATATGCTTTCTGAGTGCTCCCTTCATAGTCACACTATGTCATAACATCCCTCCACCAACAGAGACAAAAATATGGCCACTGTCGGCCACCCGCAGGTATTCTTGTGTTCTAAAACCCGGCTGGGAGTGGAAATATGAACACTTCGTCACACCCATCCAGGTCTGGAAACTGACTGGTTTTCTCGAGTTTACTGTTCTCGACTTCCAGTAAGGTGTCAGATAACTATAGAATCTTAGATCTTGGACACAATATTAGTCAAACTAAGTCCTCTATGGTTGTTACGAGATTTCCTCTTCCTCTTATAGACCGAGGTATTCAGTGAAGTAGACAAGTTTGACGGCACTACACTACACTACACAGCACCTCCATCATTCTATTTAGAAATTTCCCGCCTTCTTCATTCTAAACTTTGGGTGGCAAACTGTGAAGTCCTGCTGCTTTGCATCGTTTCAGGTTGGGTGCAGCCTTCTCAACTTCAAGAAGAGTTGGACGACCAACATCTACGTCCCATTCAGGTTTAGGCTGGATGTTGAGAAACTGAACCATTGCTGCGGGTCAGTTGGACTGTGTTTTAAAGTGTTCTGTCCAACTTTTTAGCCACCTGTCCTGAGAAGTTATCTTCTTGATGCATGCTTATCGGTGATGGTTCCACTAACCGTCATCTTTTTCTTGCCGGTATTTTTAATAAGCCTAAATATTTGTCGGAGATCCTTGCAATAATGCGTTTTGATCACATCGTGCCTTCGTATCGTTAAATTGGGAATTCACACCAAATAATGACAGCCGAGTGGTTAGTTCCGACTGAAGTCTGTCAAAAAAGTTTGGATTGTTTCCTTTCAGGGAGGTGATTCAAGCGAAAATGAATTTCATGAAGCCTGTAGACAAGTTATAATGATGAATGTTAATAATAATGTAACATGTGTGCGTAATTTTTCATAGGCCGCTAAAAGGTATTATCAATAAGCAGTTTATTCCACTCTGCCCAATTTATTATTCTCTTTTGCTTTCATGAATCTGGGAAGTGTTGTTAACGTATTCGCTTTCGAATACGGAGGTTCTGAGTGGTCAAAGAGTACAAATGTAGGCATTTTGAATAAACAAGTTTGTTCCAGGAACGTGTCAGTTGAAAAAACTCAGATGATTGTTGTTTTAATTAGAGCTGGATTAAGGTTTGGGCCAATCAATTTATGACAGTCAAGATGATGTAGCAAGACCTAACATTAATCGATGCAGTATATTATGTCGGAAATTTAGATGGAATCAAAAGCAAGTCATGAAACTTTGTGTCATCCCTTTCAACAACTACTGTGTTCAAAATTATCATAAATGTGAAAAAACATCCTACAAGGGCATTCTTTATGTCTAAGAACATATATTCCGGTTGGGAAAGCTTATTGTTTGAAGGTGTACTAAAAGCAAGTGTGTATGTAAGTGTATAGAGGAAGAAACAGAAATTTATGTTACAGATTTCATAATTCCAACAAACTATTTATATCCTGCAATTTTCAGTTGGATAAAATTATCTACGCGAACACTGTGCTTTGGTCTCTTGTTATTTCCTGTTGATTAGGTGACAGAATTATAGTGCAGGGAATTCCACTAAATCCTTGTAAAATATGCAGCTATACAAACTAATAACTGTCTTTATTTGAGGTTGGAATGTGCTAATTAGTGTATGATGAGAAAAAAAACTGATTATTTGCCATATGCTTAATCTTAAGTTAGTCTTTTGGGTGTATTTGTGCTATGTGTTGCTTTAGCCACTAGTGACCTATATACTTCCCATTCTGCTTTTTTTTAATTACACAATAAGCTCCATTATTAGGCCAGATTATATTCAATGAAGCAGAATTATTATGTATTCTAAAAAATAAGAATATAAATCCTGATCTTATGTTTTGTTGATTAGAAACATTTTATTTAATCACAAGGTCAAGAACCTCACAATTATTCACTACACTTATGCCCTAGTTGCAAATGTAACTGAAATGCTTAGAGTGAGTTAATCTCATCGACATTTTATTAACTTCAGTAATTCAATCTTATTTCAGTAAATACTGAATTATTGGAAAATAATCATCGTAATACACTGATAACATCCAATATTTTGCATAATTAGAAATGAAACGAAATTAGGATTATTCAGTATCAAGTTATTCTATTAATATCTGACCTTAAAACGTTTCTGTTGCATTACTACTATTCAGTGTATTAAAAAAGATTAAAAAAAAATTGAAATTTCTGTCTTACGATTAAAGAAAAACGTTTATTAAATATGAACAAAGATAATTTTTTTTCATTCATAGAAAAGCAGATTGAACACTTCCTGTTGACCTAATTTCAGCTTTGATGAAGAAGAGAACATTCTAACCTTACTAAAATATGTCTCTACTGTTTCAAATTCAAACAGTTAAACTAAAAAGTGTCTTAGGAGTTTAAGAGATGAACGTTTTTCACTCGGTTAAACTACAAAACAAGGTAGAGTAAAATACTAGTTGAAGTGGACATAATTTTAAATATGTCAGTAATCTAACTGAATTCTCAATGTATTGATCCAACCAGACTGATTTCCACCTCACTGAATAATATGGTAAGGAGTTGAGATATACTTGGTAGTTCTATGGATCGGTAAATATAAGCCATAAATTCAACCTGTTCGGTTGATACTCATTGGTCTGAGTCGTCTTATTGATATGATTTCTTAAAATATCAAACAGATAGGTTTCTGATAAACTGTAGTAGTGTCACCATAAATAACTTCTATTATTACAAATGCATTCATTTATATTTCTTAAGGATATGCATTAGTTAGTAGATATGCTAATCACTCATTTCCAGGAGTTTAGATTTTATCTGTAAAACTGTTTGTCTCATTATTACTATTATTACTTGTCCCTTGGGTTCCTGATGGAATATAAGGCTTCAGTAGCATGTCTCCAGTGCACTCTGTTCTCTGCAATCTTTTGAATCTGGTTCCATGGCAGCCCAGAAGCACTCATCCCTTCCTCGAACTATCTCCTCCTTGTCACCCGCGCCTCAGACGCCAAACTCGTCGCTTCTCGACCCATGGTTAGTTCTCTTCCTGTCCACTCACGGTTTGGCATTCATGTCGCCCATTGGAATTTCGATGTCGCGAACTGAGGTCTTGTCCAGTGCTGATTGCAGTTGTCTGCAGAATTTTTCACTTTTCTCTTCATCTGCATTATTTGTAGGTGCATAGCATTGTATCATTGTGACTTTCCTTCCTTTTGAGTTGAATCTTGATGTCATGATCCTGATCGTTGAGGAGATTGGTTCCCACTGCATGAGAGACAGCCTTAGATGCTGTTGGGGACATCAATGATAGCCACTCAAAAACTCAGTGTGCTCGTGGTTGTCGTCTGAGTGACAATGTCGGAGTAGATTATCGATTCTCCAGTTGACAGTTTGGAGAGTCCACTCCCATTCCATCTGCTTTCGCAAATTCCAAGCACTTCAGTGTGATACCTTCTCATCTCGTTTGCAATCTGGGCTGCCTTGCTGGGTTCAAACATGGTGCGGACATCCCATGTCCCCACGTTTACTTTCGCTTTCATCGAGAGAAGACAAATCGGCCAATTGGCTTCCCTAAGGCAGGCTTTCACCAACTGGCGTCATTTCGCCTCTCCGATTCCAGTGAGGAATAATTTTGTTTTTATTTTTTATATTTTGTTTATGCTTTGAAGTTTCTTTAGCGGTTATATTTGTTTTAGGGGGTAGGGTTGCTAGCCCTACGCCAAATCTTCCCTCTTTACCCGGGCTTATGACCGGCTAGTAACTAGTGAACTAGTTAACCAGGCGAGGTTTTGTCCCATCATTACATATTTTAAAATGACAAGAATACTGATTGTAATAAACATGCATAAAAATTATCGACTTACTAGTGCACATTCATTTTCTTGGTTGATACAATGTGGTTGGGTCAAATCAGGACGTTGTTTAAGAAAACCTTTGTCTTGTTCAGTTAACTATAAATATTCATTTTGTTCAGTTTAAATAATATTCAGTTTTATTATATTGTTGATTAGATTTGTCCGTTGGTTAATATTTTCATTTTGTCCGGGGACATTTTTCATCATTTCCAATTTTGTGACATGAAAAAGGTATTTTATTCATTTTAATATGAAATAAGCGAACCAGAAACATTGATAAGATGTTGTAGCAGAAGAAGCAATATCAAGGTTGATATTGAATCCAGTTAGTTGGTACAGAACAGAAACCAGCAGAAAAAAGAAAAAAATTAAAACAAACGTTATAAGTTGAGTAGAATACTGAGTAAATAATGGCTAGTTAGGCCTCATTTTTGTATGAATACACTCACTTTGTAGTTTTGAAGAATGCTGCATTTTACGGGATTTTATTCTGAGCTGTTCAATAAAGTTGGGTCAATAATTCCTCGGTAGCATTCAGTAGAGAGTTTAACAAAGGAATTTTATTCTCATAATCTCACTTAGATTATGATCAAATTACGAATACACTTGACGGACTTTCACCAAGCTCTTATGGATGCGTAGTTTCTTGACTCTGTATGAGTGAGGTTGTAAAAGCATATCACTCACCTGCCCACATTATTTTAGTAGTATATCTAAACACAATATCTGTTTTAATCCTCCAGCTAATTGTATTATAAAGCCACTGACAAATTTTATGGTACTACTAGGTTTCACGAATTATACAGGTTTCATTAAGGCTGCTACTCATTATATTAAAAACCTTTCTGGATATAAGCAACCACAGGAATATTCAGGGGGTAGCGCATATCAGTCTGGTTACTGGTGTGATGCATTTGCCCTTTTCGTGTTATGTGGCTTTGGATAATGATGACTATTTTATATATCTAAGCGTAATATGTGGAGAGGACTTTCATTTATTCATCAAAAGTCTTATAAGAACTAACAGCTTTTTATGGTGTCCATAGGGATGTCAAAGCTTTTTTAAACGTTAGATCAAAGTAAGACAGCAGTTTGACGGAAGCACTTCGGGATCTATCACTTTTAGATAATGAAGACTGTGTATGAACCTCCACTTCATGGTTGTTATGTATATATATATATATATATATATATATATATATATATATATATATATATATATATGAAAATTTGTTCAAAACAGTGAAAAACAATATTAAGCTATCTTAAACTAGGTTTTTTCAGGTATGCTAAATTTCTTAAGAACTGTTTAATTACCTGAAAATACAGTACTATTCATTTAGTAACTGGTGTCCTGTTGTGTATTATTATAGAAATCACTGTGTTTTTGTGTCCATTTGGCTGTCAAGAAGGTGGAGTGATTTGAGCAAACGCTTTGCGGAAGACTACACGAAGAAATACACAACAAGTTTTGGCAGTTGTTGAAACTGTTTAAGATGCATATTCAGTCTGTAAATCAGACCTATGAACTACTTACACCATAAATCTGATTAAAATTTTGGGCTACTTAGAATTCCCATCTTATATATTATAACAAATTACTATTTTGTTTTAATTATTCAACCGTCAACAAATCGTAAAACTTATCGGGCATTCTTAAAATGTGTTCATCATACAAGCTAACAATAAAATGACATAAAGATATCATGTGGATGGTGAAGGATTTTTGAGCATACAACAGTCTATCATATAACTATAACAGGAATAGTTAGCAGAAGCTGCAAATTTTTATACCATCAAACCTAAAGGTAGATTTATATTTGTCCCCCCCCCCTTGCAACAGCATACTCACAAACTAGACGATGAACCAATGAGAACTGGTTATTATGCATTGTTGTTTGTCATATTGTTATTATTATTTGACTGCGATGATCGCTTAATTTGAAGTTACAACAAAAACAATAAGTTTCGTGAAATCTGACACGGAGAATTTTATTCTGTATTAAGAATTATTTCTGAGAATAAAGTGATTATTATCATTAAAAAGTTCAATTTGTTTTGCACTTATCGTTTCTGAAGCTTTTTAGTGCATGGATTTTGCAGCATTTGTTGCAATAGGCGCTCAACAAAACGTTTTAAAGACTGAAATCGCTATATCTTTTCTATCAACAACATAGTCTTCACTTCACTGTGAAAGAGTCTACTAACCTGCTCATCAAGGATGCGATATTTTATTCGGTTGAAGTAATTTATTTAACAAATCAATAGAGTAAAATTAATATATTTTGTTCACTTTAGTTTTCTGTATTTAACTTAACACAATTGGTATGCATGATACTAGGATGAAAAAACTCAGAGAAACATCAATATTCACTTGCACAAAGTAATAGAATGGAGACAGTGTCGTTACTAACAACAGCATTGGCAGTTTCGAAGCGTTTTGTGCTGGTGCTGGTTGATATACAGAGTCATACACTGAAACTACCAAATCAGTGACATATAGTGACTTCAAAAGTTATTTTTTGTTGATTATTGGTCTCCAGTCATCTAGGTTTATCTAAAGTTACTCTAAACTTGACATTCGCGTAATCCATTGTAAGAAGACATGCAGTCACATCATTTAATTGTATTGGATTTATCCATATACAAATAGAAAATAAAAGCACCAAGAGAAATCAAGTACTGGAAAATGAAGTTTTCATTTCATGAATTTACTAAAGTAATCTCAATTTATTTCAGGTTTTCTTGGTAAGTTTTAAATTTCTTCATTGAAAGCGTATATAGCTTTATAGTTTTAGAGAGTTAAGAAGTACTACTTAATCATGTTTGATGACAATCTACCGGTAGATACAAATGATGTGTTACATGGTTCAGTAATTGATATGCTAGTCTCTAAACCGCTGAACTTCTTTATGTAGCTTAGTTTCCTGCTATCATATTTCCACTATGCTTTATTTTGTCCAATTATAGAAAATAAATTTGGTTAGATAATGGTGAATGAAATAAATTTTCATAAAAGTTGTTAACTGAACTACACAACTATTAAGAGATATACAGTTTAGCATGATCGACTTCATTAAAGGCAGAGTAGCACATAAAAGGAAGAGAATTAATTAACGCAGGTGATTTCCTAAAATGAAGCTTTGTACCAGAAATGAATTACATTTTGTTGAAATATATCTATTTAATGTTTTGGCGGGAGGCAAAAATTTGAAATAAATAAAAGTGAACATAAAATAATTATGCAGTAACTGAAATGAAATGTCTAGAAATTATAATGAAGGCAAAACAATTAAAATTTTCACCTGTCCGACAGGTGGGAACAAATGGAACACAAAAAAATATAAATAATCAGAAAAGATATGTAAAACTAAGAGAAAAAGAAAACTAATTGTATTCCAGTTTTAGAAACATATTTCAGTTTTTTTGACTATGAATATAAATTTGCGTTTGAAACGCAAAAATAAAGTAAGTAATTTTTTGTCGGCAGCATGTGGATTTAGACCTGAAATGTTTTACAAATAATTACTGCGTTGTAATAATTTCTCATGTGATGAAGATACCCAACCAACAACAAGCTCCAATCACCATCAATGGGAAAAATCTAAAGGAAGTAGTTTCTTTCACCTATTTACCTGCCTAGGCTGCATCGTTTCAACTACAGGCGGCAGAGGCATACACGAGGATGTCGAAACCAGTATCGGAAAGATAACTAGACAGGCTTTCACTAATCTGAAATCAGTATGGAGATCTGCTGCACTCAGCATAAAGCGTGAACATGATCCGGATTTTCACCACCAATGTCAAGTCAGTGCTTCTATATGATGGTGCAGAAACTTGGTGCGTTACGAGAAGCATTTCCAACAAATTGCACACATACATCAACAGCTGCCACCTACACTGGATATCGAAGACCAGATGGCCACAAAGAATAAGCAACAAGGAATTTCGGCTGGCAATGAACCAACGAAGAACCTATCGCTCAAAACATGTGCAGAAGAAAGTTGAGAAGGATTGGGCATACACTGAGAAGATTGACTGGGGACATCACGCACCAGCCCCTTGAGTGGAATTCCAATGGGAAACGACGAGTTAGGCGTCCGAGGCAGGGGTGATATGGAGGAGATCATATGAGGAAGATATTAGAGCTTGTGGGCTGTCGTGGAGTGAGATTCAGAAGATTGCAGAGAGGAGGGTGGAATGGAGACATGTTACTGAAGCCGTATGTTCCGCTAGGAACCCAAGGGACAAATAATATAATAATTATAATTTTTCATAAAACTCAACAGTTTACATGTTTGATAGAACAGTAAAAATGCCTAATTACTAAACGAAACGGTGCATAGTGTGCAAATAGATCAGCCATTACCTTTGAGTTATCTTACGTCCCCTGTACACTCTGTGACCTTAGACACCTCATTTGAAAGACTAGACCGATAAGTATTCAGGACTCACAATTCCTGTGAGTGAAATTTAACTACATTTTCATCGAATCACTTGTAATGTTCAGGAGAAGAAATCATAAACTGAATAGATTTCCTTTTTTAATGCTCTTGCTGCAAAAATCACATCAGCTGATTTTTTTCAAGCAGAAAAAGATATCTGAGCATTACATGATGTATCTAAAGTGGAAGTGTTACTGCTTGTGTATAGGATAGAGACAACCAATGACTGACTGATACATAAGATTCTATGGCCATCCTCAGGTCACTTGTAAACTTTACTCATTACTATAAATGTTTATTGTATGTTTTTTTGCATTTTACAACACGAGAAAAATGAGGTTGTTGACGGAAAGGAATACGAAAGTGATAAAATTCAGCAAAAGGAAAAAAAATTATACTCATTTTACTGCATCAGAATTCTGAATTCTGGTCTCGAAAACATCATATGGGGTGCTTCGTTCTGAGAGAAAGCAGACCTAAAAATGTTTGATGTGTGTATGTGTTGAAGGAATTTGGAATTTTCCAAGGAGTGTTAATTTTAAATTGCTCTTTTCAGCTTCAAACTAACTCTTGCTTCATAGGAAGTTACTTTAGAGAACAACTTTAGTCACTTTTGCCATTGCGCTGTTATACAATTTTTGCTAATTACATCTTATACATAGAAACATGCATGCAAATATGTGCATATTTAGGGCTTTATCTGCTATCTAGAACTACTGACCATTCATTCCCTGCTAAATACTTATGAAATTTCACTTGCCTAAAGCTATACTCAATGTGTTGGTTTGTCTGTGTTCATATACCTAGTATATTTACACTTGCTTCTCTATTAGTTTGAAGCCAGATATAAACAGTTGTGACCTATATCCATTAAATCACCATTGTCAGTCACTTTCAGATCAAATTTTCAGTATTCTCACATTAACTGACAGACGAAAGTTAAAACAGACCTATAGGTTTGCGATTTATTTCTGGTTTGTACCACAGGTTTTTCTCTCTCCTCAAGTAAATAAGTTTGAAATATACTGTCTACACAGTGAAATAATAAGGATGGAAAAGAAATCAAGATCCACTCAGTAACTTTGTGCACATTTATGAAGTAGGCAGTGAGGTATACTTATAATGTGAAGGATAATGATACTAAGTAGCTGCGTAAACCGCGATACGTGGAGCAGTGTTCGACCCCATGACCAGTTGCCTAAAAGTCAACTCCCTAAAACATCAAGCTATAGTTTCACATGATGTGATCTGATCCTAAAAGTTATTTTTAAATGTGCAGAAATTATATATGATGAAAACATGCATCACGCAATTGGCACACAAAATCTTTTAATCAGTTAGCACTTATCATCGATGTCACGTCATAAGTTAGGCACTTTGACAAGAAGTGTTTGAAATTATCAGAACAGTATAAAAATGGTTATTTCTTGTTCTAAGTTCTTTGTTTTATTTTCTAAGTTAACAGCACTATTTAACTTCACACCCGTATTCTTTTTTTGTTTTTTAGATTAGTCGTCTACTGAGTGAATGAAGACTAACAGAGTGGGTCAAAGGCATCCAAGTTAACTAGCTATAGCAAGTTTGACTTGTCATTTGAACAGTTTAAAACAAAAATTATAACTTTTACCAGTTATTAAATCTAAGTTTGTTTGATTTACTTATTTAGATTAACTTATTTTTCAGTGTTTTGAAAAATCATCCCGTGTTCTTCATATTTTATAAATATGAAGTAAATTTTGGTTATTATGACTATTAACTAACTGTAAAGAAAAATGTTTTGAAGCGTCGGAAATAACTGTGAGATAACAACTTAAACTAGACGCTACAGGTGATCTGTAAGAGATTAAAAGATTATATAAACGTATTATGATATGTATATTCTACAGAGTAACTAGATATGTTCGTCAACATTTCATCATAACATTATATATGGATGTCAGTCAATGAAAGTTGGAATCAATGCACTTTTTAACGAGCTATGGTTTTTTATAGATATTTAATTCTACGCCCACGCAATCATTATTCATAAACCAGAATGGAAAAATATAATTTTCGCTCTCCAATTTGTTTACTTGACGAAAGACTTTTGCATGTACAGGCCAATAGATTGACGGAAATATTTGGCTTTTTAGGAAGTCTGATATTGATTCTCTTAATGTGGGGCAGAACAGCTGATTTGTAGTTATAAATGTAGATCAAAGTTTTATGATCAGAAACCTCCGATTTTCCTTGATCTTGGTGAGATGACCAATTCGTGCACAAGATCCTAGGAGCTATTTCTGACGTTGAAAGGTTCTTGATAAATTACAGGACTTTAACATTGAATCCTTTAGAAAGCATGCTTATTCATAAGGTTTCAAACACATAGTGAAATGATTACTTAAAAGAATGAGACCTGAAGTTGTCTTCTTCAAACTACGTCCATGCTTCTTTTCTTGGAATATTTTTCTATTTTGTCATGAATTATCGACATGCTCTGACTAGATGGGAAAGCTTTCATGGAATCCTAGGCTTTTTGAGAAACCTACTGCGTAGTAATTTTTACTTTGTAACCGTATGTTTTGAGTTAGCAGCTATTGTATTTCTAAGTAATACCTTTTATCCTACAGCACGGAACATAATACGATTGAGTAGAAATGAAAATAGTTGCCGTTTGAAAAAAACTTGTGGGTTTACCTGATAGAAAAATTGAAAGAAATTGTTTGACATAATGAAGAACATGATATGAGTATGATGCAACAGGTGTTAGCACCTAAGTCACTTTGAGCAAGACTTTTGTTAAAATTTTGCTGATGATTTGATGCACAGAGTTATCTGAGTCACACTACTGTCTATATTAGAGGTAGTGAAATCCCCTCAAACGAACAATTGAAAAAAGGAGTACAAAACCACATTGAATCAGTTCACTGAGTGTTGGTCAATATAAAGATTGAAAACTTAGATTTCTTCAACGTTTTAACTTTGCGAAAGGATTGGAACAAAAGATATAGAGTTTATTAAAATTAATTGGTGAAAACTTGATAAAGAAGCTTTTATGTATATTGTCATGGGCGATAATGTGGCGATTTTTGTATCTTGATATCAGCATGGTGTTCTCTAAACAGAATGAAAGCATAACAATATATACTTTGATTGCCAAGACAAATGGATAAATAATTCATGGTTAAAGTAAATAAATGAATCAGAATATGCTTTAGTTTGACACAGCTTCTGAGACTAAGTTGAGGAATTTAATTCTCAGGCCTTGGAAAAATATTAGTAACTATTAGGTAGGCAGATCTTTAGTTTTCAGAAGTGTCGCTACTCATTTAATGCTCATGAGTAAGTGATGAATATTTTCATAAGAAGTGATAATGTTCAGTTATTTAGTTGTTGAATAGAAAATTCAAAGACAGCGTGGAAACACAAGAGCAATAATTTGTGAGTAGTACATCGTTCACAGACGAGGACGTCAAAGCCGCCAGGATCGGAAAGACAGCAGGACAGGCGTTCATTAGCCTGGAACTAGTGTGGAGATCTTCTGCACTCAGCATGTGTAACAACATCCAGATTTTCACCACCAACGTCAAGTCACTGCTTCTGTATGGTGCAGATACATGGTGCGTTACCAAAGGGATTTCCAACCAACTACAGACATTCGTCAACAACTGCCTACGCTCGCTACTGAAGATCAGATGGCCAGAAAGAATAAGCAACAAAGAACTCACTCTGGGAACGAACCAACAAAAAACCTATCGCTGAACAAATATGCAGAAGTAAGTGTAGATGGATTGGGCATGCACTGAGAAGACCATTCGGGGACATCATGCGCCAGCCCCTCGAGTGGAACCTCGATAAATGTGAGAGCTTTTGTGCTGTCGTGGAGTGAGGTTCAAAAGATTGCAGAGGAGAGAGTGCACTGGAGACGTGCAACTGAAGCCATATGTTCTAATAGGAACCCAAGGGACAAAGAATTAATAATAAATAAGTACATCGTTAGTGATTACTATTACATGAGTTTTCACTATGAAGGGTCAACAGATATAATGCAGTATTAAATCACTTTCATTGTTCAAATTCAGACACACTAATCAGAAATTCTTCCTTGATTCTATTAGTGCATGTCAGAGACATTTGAATATTAACTGTTCTCATTTCAAGTGGGAGGTCAGCTTAGGCGCCATTTCAAAAATTCTGCAGAATCTTATTCAGCGTTTAGAGAGGTAACAAACAGCACGGCTTTTTTAAAATGACAACATCTTGCTTCAAATAAACGCGCTTATTTAACTGAATATTTCTTTCGCGAAAATACTTTTTTTGGGGTGTATTTAATCGGCATTTACATTAGCTAGTATGCATAACTAAGTTTATGTTTGCATAAGAAAACTGTTAAGATTCGTGTGCTGTGCATATGGGCAATAAATTTGTGGACAATACGAAATTTTCAAGATATTGTCACCTACATGAACACCCTTTGGAATAGCTAACTTGTAAACTCATTTTTCTGTAAAATGCAGAATTCATACCATCACTTTTTTTGAGTGGTTATGGTATATCTCAAGTATTAACTGCTAGACATTTCCATAATGCTTTTGTTTTCGTTTTATCCTTCACGTTTTGATGCTTATGACTTAACTGGTACGTGGTAATTTGTCACCAACAGAGGAAAATCTTTGTACTAGGACTTAACTGAGGTCTACAGTATCAAGAAATCCCAGCTATTGGTTTTCAGTGATCTCTGGACTCTGTAAACATCATTTGTAAAAAATTGTATTTTCACTTTTTTATTCATCCCATTCTTTTGGTTGAGGTTAGTAACTCTCAGAATTCTGTTTATCATGACCAACATAAATATGCTCTCTCTTTCAGTTACAGAGTGTTTTTCACGATAGGTGCTAGATATTGTTGAGTGTTATCACGGACACAATCTCGCCTAATTTACTAACCGGTTCTAACCCCAGATAAAGAGGGAAGTTAGGACGTGGGGCTAGCAGCCCTACACAGGAAAATCAATCCAATCACTAAAAAAACTTCAAAGCACAGAAAAAACATAAAAAATAAAAATAAACTTATTCCTCGCTGGAATTGGGGATAAAAAATGACGCTGGCTGAGGGGAGCCTGACTTCGGGAAGCCAGTTGGCCAATGCTTCTGCTCTTCTTTCGATGAAAGCAAAAGTGAGAATAAAGAGATGGAATGTCAGCAAGATGTCTGAAGCTGGCTGGCCAGGCTGCCCAGATTCCAAGATAAATGAAAAGATATGGTATGGAACTGCTAGGAATCCGCGAGAGCAGATGCAGTGGAAGTGGACTGTCCAAACTATCAAGCAAAGAGTCGATTATCTACTCCGATATTGTTACTCAGACAACAACAACGAGCACACTGAGAGAATGGCTACCATGATTTCTCCAAGAGCGTAGAAGGGTCTCATGCAGTGAGAACCAATTTCCTCCACGATCATGAGAGCAAGATTCTACTCAAAAGTAAGGAGAGCTGCAATCACATTATGCTACGCTACGCACCTAAAAATAATGCAGATGAAGAGAAGAAGGAGAAGTTCTGTAGCCAACTGCAATCAGTAATGGACGCGACCTTAACCCAGTTAGTGACATAAACATTCTAATGTGTGGAGTGACATGAAAGGCAAACTGGGAGCGGACAACACAAGAAAGTAACTCATCATGGGCCGAGAATCACTGGGTGAAATGAATGAGAATGGAGAACTGTTTGCAAACTTCTGCGCATTTAATGACTTGGTGATTGGTGATACTGTTTACAGACACAAGGATATTCACAAAGAAACTTGGGTTTGACTTCACCAGATGGACACACTAAAAATCAGATCGATTTCATCTCAATCTGAAGAAGGTGGAGACGCAGACTATTGGGCACAAGATCAGAACAGGAAGAGGAGCAGCACTCACTTTCTGGTGCAAGGTACCTACCTTCAAAATCAATTTGAAAGCTTTCACAGAAGTTGGTGATGGGCCACAGTTCAAGTTCAACACCCAGAACAGAAGCTGAAGGAAGAAACTAAAAAAGACTTCTTCACGTCAGTCAGCCGTCAGGAAAAAATGGGAGACATTGAGCAAAATCTCCGCGAAAACCTGTGTGGAAGAACACTGGAACTATTTGGAAGAGACGTGAAAATAAACCAAGGTTACCGTGTTAGGAAGGAAGAAGACGAGGCAAGACAAGGAATGGATCTCGATTGTCACAGGAAAAATGATTGAGGAGGGAGAGGAAGATGGTCAAGCAGATGAACCAGTGCAATGCATTGCAGTGCAGGAATGAACAACGAGAAGAGGAACTTAACACAACCTAAGGAAAAAACCACAGTGAACAAAGAAGTGGGGAGAAGTGCGCGCAAAGACAAAATACACTTCCACAACACATTGGCAAGTGTAACAGAACAAGCTGCAAGTAGGAGAGACCTGACACAACTGTGTCAAATAATCAGGCTGCTATCTAGGAAGAGATCAAAACAGATGAACCCAATGAGAGATAGTGAAGGAAACTCAGTTACCAAATAGAGAGGAGAAACAAAAGAAACAATGGGCTGACCACTTCAAAAAACTCTTGAATCGATAACCCCCACCCATCCCCCCCACCACAACCAGCAGCCCAGTCACAGAATTATCAGTAAGCACAAACCCTTCGACGGTAGCAAGAGTGAAGTTCTGAACACCATAAAGTTGCTGAGAGCCGGGAAAGCAGCAGAACCGGATAAAATTTCTCCAGAATCACTGGAAATAGACGCAGAGACAACAGCAGACATGCTTATACCACCAATACAGAAGGTTTGGAAGGAAGGAAAGAAAGATACCTGCAGATTGGAAGAAGGATTACCTTGTCAAACTCGCAAACAAGGGTGACCTAAGTGTTTGCAAGAACTGGCACTTAATCATGCTCTACATCTGTTCACTTCAAGCAAAATATTATGCTGTGTCATCCTGGAGAGACTAAAAACTCTGGATTCAACTAGAGTAGGACTGGAACAGGCTGGCTGGTTGGCTTCGGGAAAACGAACCACTTGCGGATCGAATTGTAACGCTGCGCTACTCATCATCATAGAACAGTGCACAGAGTGGCAGTAAAATCTGTATCTCCACTTCATCGACTTTGATAAGTCTTTCGATAGCGTCAATCGAGAAGTAATTTGGCAGTGTTTCAAAATTATCTACCAAAAGCAACCAAATTTGCCCATTACCCCTAAATATTTATCCTACTTTGATCATTTAGAAGCACCTACTCACTGAGTAAAATGACGTCAGTAGCTGGTGAATTCATCCTATTTTGTAGTGAACAACAAAATTAAAATTGAACAGAACTACCTAATTTAGGTTGTACTTTGATAAATAGTTTCAGTTCCAGCTAAGTAACAGAATTTATCTTTAGTCAGAGAAAAATGATTTATACATTTTAATTCATTATACAAGTTTTCTGTGATGACTCAGGGAAAATCGACAGTCTGAAGATTTCTTCAAATCACTTGACCTTCAGTAAGATCCACAGTAATGAGTTTGAATCATGAGAAAGGAAACGCACTTGCATTACATCTCAGGAATTATAAAAAATGACGCATAGGAAATGTATGAGAATTGATTTGATAAGAACAATTATTACACATAGATAGAACTTCACAACGGTCATTTCTTTATGCATGCCAAAGCACAGGAAGTAATAAATCTATATGATTTGTGAAATACTCATTATGTGGAAGTAATAAAAATAAACATGACTAATTTGGTTTGCCAATTGCCTAAGGAAGACCTTTAATTACGTGTTTTATAAATACAATTATTGTTTAAGTTTTTATTATGTCTGCCAACTCTAGATTTTTGAAATTTGATGAATTTCTTTTTATTAAAATATAAAAGCTAGCACTCATTGGTGTCAAGCCAGAGGTTGTTTCGTAAGTTGCTGGATTACAAATTCTTAAACTACCGAGCAATGAAAAGTTGATTCAGTTCAGAATAATTAGACTCACAAATTTATCATCATCTCCTAGCTGCGTTATTGTAGGGTTTTTTTCCAATAGATCATTTTTATCTGTTCAAAAGATTCTCCAGTCAACTGTCTTCTCCTTTAACCTTTTCTGAATATGCCTAACTATATACTACTTAACTTCATTCTTACCAATATTATACAAGACATCCGTAAAAAATACTTATTAGGTAGTTCGGAAATACCAGTGGAACTTTAGATAACCAGGGAAATAATCTTTTGTTTCCCTTATTTTTATCATGCTAAAAGACTGGAAGTCAAAGCGCGAGAAAAAAATACACGCTGATAAAAATCGTACTACTTATTTCCATGGAGTAATTCTAAATTCATATGATGTAAGCCTGTAATTGGGTCATAATACTTGTAATCTAATTAACTAACGCTTCTCAATGAAACTAAGGATTAGGGTTCTTCTCCAGATTTGATGATTACTGGTGTAAATTCAACGCTTAGAATAAATTTTGCACGTACTTTTATGCCTATTTTCATTTCCATCAAACAAACGTTTTAGTAGATAAATTTTTTTCCAAAATAGAACAATAAAGGTTGGAGATTTACATTCAAAGTATCTCGGTAAGCTTGAATAAAACAACTAGTCTCTCCACGTAAGGATTATAACTGAAGTCTAATTAAACTTATTTTCATGCTAAAGTTTGAACTATAAAAGGTTCATTCGAATTCTGTTGAATCCTACGTTTTCGTTCAAATTTATCCAACAATATCAGGTGTTTGCTGTGGGAAATGGCAGTTCAAGGATAACTTAGCCAAACTGTATAAAGCTTTATCCAAGCTATCACTTTTTAACAGTTAGTCCTCTGAGTTAAATAAGTGGTTTATCTTGATTTTATTGCATTACATACCAGTTTCTGCCAGAAAGAGTACTCCTTAGATTCTTAAGGATGCGGTGAATATGACATGAATTAAACTTTTGTTAGAAGTACATAACTAATCAGAGAGGTATACTTCAGAAATATCTGAACTAGCCTGCTGAAAAAATGGAAGTTATTGGAATCGAATATATTTGTTTTAATGCATTTCAGAGCATTTTAATTGTTTGGCGGCACCTTTAAATCCTTGCTTTTATTACCTAACTGTATGCTCAATTTTTGATAATAAAATATAACATTTATTTTCCCGTTTTTCACCTCATAAAGCTGTATTTAATTTATTTCGTGCTTTATCTATGGATTAATTTTAATTACATCACTATGAACAAATAAACAGAAAAAATACGATAATCTAAATTATTCCCATCGTTTTAAAAGAGATTACTGAGAAATTTGCCTAATTATGATTAAACAGTGTGTTCACTTATACTGTTCTTAATCTTTTTTTCAAATCAGTGACTTAAGTAGATGGATAGGTAGAAGAAAACTAAATTGTTTCACGATTAAATGATAAGATGAAATTATTGAAAAATATAATCGATGAGAACATAAAACAAGCACGCAATAGGAAAAATTAATAGGGATTAACAACGCTGAGAATAAGTTTTGTACAACTCTTAAATTATGATGAATTTTTGTTCGAAGTTGTACTCTTTTCTTTGGTTCTAATTGTTTAGATGTTCTAATGAGATCCCGTAACTGAGGATTTTCACTTTCACTTTTTTTACTTCGATAACTTAAATTTAGCACGTTGAGATAAGTTGGAATAAATTTAAAAGAAGTTTATGGGTATGAAGTTGATCTATTAACTGCTACCGGTCCATAATAAGCTTAAGAACGTTAAGTTTAACAGAGTGTTGTGAATTTTAAAATCAGCTTTACTAGTAATGTGACGAATATGAACATTATGATCGTCAATAATATAGTTTTCTTCACTAAAACCCATTTTATTATTAAAACTTTTTCAGGAAAATGTGTATTTCTGGATAAATTGTGACTACAAGCACCCAGTATTTTATACTGAGTGATTATTAATGAAAACTTCCAGACACAAAAAAAAGGCATAATTGCACGCCGAAAATCTGTCAACGACAGTACAACTGACATGTAATGGTGAACTTTACTACTTGACTCATATCTTTCGAGCACCACAGATGACTGTAAAAGTAAATAAGCCATTACATAGTCTAGTGTTTCATTATTTTTTTAGTTTTATCCAAACGTTACTCAAACAATATTATGAGATGTTAGGTAATGGTAAATAAAATCTCATTGGTGTTTCTTTCCCAAAGTGCTGAGAAGTTGTTCTGTGATCACCAGTAGACATAAAAACTAGAGTTTTGTTGCTTGTCCTAAAGTATTCTGTGTAAGAAAAAGCACAATTAACTGAAAAAAATCTGTGAGACTACATATATATATATGTCGCACTAAAACTAAAGCGTGACTAAACAAAAAGTGGCTTTCACTATGTCATAATTAAATAATAGGAATTTTCCAAAGTCTCTCGTGCAGAAATAGAACTGGCATGAAGTCATATTTACGGGATGAGTATTCAGAAGAGTTAACTTCGTCCTCGGGTCAAAGTGATTTCTGTTGTTTTAAATAAATTAAGACTGCGTTACAAGTCCTGATCACTGAGAATATTTATGCACTACATTTACTTTCTTAGTTACTCAGAAGTTTTCTATAATGAGACCATCATATCATTTCACTTACTATGTTTCTTTTTTGCATTATTGTCATGATTGGTTAACATTTATTATTCTGCTTAAATTATTTCTGAGTTCTGAGTATACTTCACTCTCTGGTCTATTCAGCTGTTCCTTTTTAATCGTCTTACTGAAGATAGAAAAATCAGTCATTGAATTCATGATGTCAAAACTGATTTTATTCTCATGTTCTTTTTTGTCTCATCTGTTTGAATCCACTTATCATTTGTTTGTTTATTCATTGTTTATTGTTTTCTTGTTGTCTTCATACTATGATGTGATAATTTATTTCTCCGTTAAAAAGTGAGTCAAATCTTCATTGAATTATTCACATGTTATTACTTTGTTTATATTGTTGTCATATACGCCATCATCCTTATTGTTGTTGTTGTTGCCTGTGATGCTGCAGGTTGAATTCTTGTCCAATTCACTTATTTACTTAAATATGCATGTAACCAGATCTCTAAGGTTTATTTTATCGCAATAATAATGCCAACTTGAATGCATTTTATATGATAATTTATTTTTTATTAACTGTATTCCCAACTGATACTTTTTTGTGTGTCCTTAAGATAGGTTGAATTTAGCAGAAAATAAATGATGAGTTGAAAATATGACGAACAGTCAAAACATGTACAAGAATGATCACTATCAACTGAATACATTTCAATATACATACTTGACAAAATTATTTTAAGCAAGAAATCTGTTAATTTGTCGTTCTTCATACGTATTCGGTCATTTTATACAGATGGTTGATATTTCAAGTTGTCATTCATCGTAGACTGACATCGGTCGGAGGAACAAAGGAAATCTAAGAGCACTGGACAGCTGTTTCGTCCTAGTATGGGACTCTTCAGCAGTGCGCATCCACGACCCCGCTAAGGATCAAACCAGCGACATCCATGTTCCAATAAGGTCCCCCAAGTTCGAATGAGAAGTCGTGACCGGTGGGGAGAATGCTTAAGGGTCCTGAGGACAGTCACTCAACAATGACAATGGGTGGCGGTTGCGCTATATCGTGAGCTAACAGAAGTTGGAAACATGGGCCATCAAATTCTAACCCAGTGGCTCAATGGTAACGTGCTGGCCACGGAACCTGAAGTTAGCGGATCCGATCCCTAGCAGGGTCGTGGGTGCACACTGCTGAGGAGTCCCATACCAGGACGAAACAGCTGTCCAGTGCTCCCAGGTTCCTTCTGTTCCTCTAACTGATGAATAACAACTTGAAATATTTCCAAATCCCCATAACTCCCTCAAAATTCGAGATGGTTAATATTTCTATAAACTGTTTAACTTCGTAAAGAACTTTTATTTTGAATGTATATTTAACATATTTTGATCACTGTGACATACTGTAAATAACTATGGTTGTTAAGAAACGGTTTAACGAAATCTTGTGAATAAAATTTGATATTCGTTTTTAAAATGCTCTACTTTTTATATTCAAAATGACTCGGTCACAACTCATTCAACTGCTTCGTACCATTCTGGTGATTGAAAAAGAATAACTGCTGAGTTCAGGTGTCGATAGCAAATACAACTGCAGTGAGGATTCAACTGAGTCTTGTTAACCGATTTCTAGTAGGAAAGAAATTGAATTCAGTTGAATTACACAATGCTACTAATACACATTTATGCTTTCAACTTGTTTATAGTTCAATAACTTTCCTGTAGAACAACTGTTGGATTTTCGTCAACTGAAATCACTTTTAATTATTATGGTATGATAATAGCAATGATTTTAGACATAATGTGGTTGGTTGGTATTTTTTCGTGGTCAGCGTGATAAAATTATCCAACTCAACGAAATATCTACTATCGTATTCTTTAAAAGCATTTTTGGAAGACATCAAATTAGGAGGTGAGTACTTAACGTTGCGGAAAAGTAATCATAAGATATGATTTGAAACAGCAAATCTTATTTTGTATGCAATCTAAGTAGTGATATTTTAT